ATAACAAAAAACCCGGAGGTCTGCTTATCTCAGCTGAATGTGACCAGTGGATAAACACAATTAATAGTATACACATCACTGATGTTAGTAATTATCTTTAGGCTAACATAATATGTCAAAACTTATCTAAATAAAGCTTAAAAGAGGAAAGTCTGTATCACGTATGAAAAATTATTTCACTAGTTTCAGGTGAAGAACTGGCTTGGCAGTAGCTCATTTGAGAAATTAGTCTTTATGTGTAACAAAAAGTCAAAAGACTGACAAGGCAGCTATAAAAACTAATGAACTGTAGGTCACAGGCAGATAAGAATGCATCCAAAATAAATGTCCTAAGGATAGTGAAGTGTCTGGAAATCATGGAGAAAACTGAAAGAATCGGAGTTGCTAGCCTGGAGAAGATGAAAGGGAGACATCTCAGCAGGCTGCAAATATCTGAGACTTTATCACAGTGTAAAATAAGAGACATGGGCCATGCCAGTGCTTCTCATAGACTATGTGCTATAACAAAATAATCTTTTTTCCAATCACTGAATTTCTATAAAGTACAGCTGCAATATCATGGCAATGGAAAACTGCTATCAAAATATATAAATGTTCAGTCTCAGTTCCTCAACTTAATTCACTGCCAACAGGTAAGCTGTTCACAGACCCCCACTCTGAGTAGCTTTATTCCATCTGTAGCAGAAAAAAAGTAAATTAAAGCAAATCACCGTATGGGAAGTTAAATTTAACAAATAGATGTGTCCAACCTATTTCGTGGAAGAGCTCAGAGCACGAAGCTCGAGAAGTTTTCAGAAGAATAATTTATGTCAGATAATTTGTAGAATGGATGGACTCCTGTGTTGGAAGGTGACTGGATTAAATCATTACACAATCTCTCTGCTCTCAAAGCTTACATGAAGCCAATCAAAAACAAACACACACACAGAACCCTTAAAGTAGTCAATAAAAAGTAATCAAAGCATACTTTCAAAATCAACTGTGATGTATGAGGTAGGACATATGGGAAAAGGACTTGAAAAATGACAAAACATTATGTAAATCATAATTAAGAAACCTTAAATATGTGAGAATTATTAACACTACTTTCCTTTTTAACCCATTACTGACTATACAAATACATTCTGAAGTTGCCTCTTCAAAGTTTAAAACAGTCTTCGCTATTCAAAAGCACAAAAACCAGGATTCTTTTTTTAAAAAACATTAAAGAGCACCACTGCCATCTTAAACTCTCACCTCTGAGTGGTCTTCAGCCCCCAGGGTTCAGCCATATAGTCTCTGCACCTACCTAACCTGGACTTAACTGAACTACTGGCTTACTCTACTGCAGTCCTTTCTGGTAAGTCAATCACCTTCTAGAGGTAACTACTTAAATGAGTCATCCCACCCT